TGCGCTGGCGCTTGCGGCCGCCCGCGGCGTCGCCGCCGTCGGCCTGGAGCTCCGCGAGCGCCGCGGGCGACAGCTGGCGCGCGGAGCCCTGCTTGCGGCGGCCGCCGGACGCGCGCTCGTACCCAAACTCGTCGCCGCCGTCGTAGACCTCCTCCTCGACGGGCGGCCGCACGGCGACGGCGGCGAGGCGCTCGGCGAGGACGGCGGCGACGACGTCGTCGGGGGACCGCTTCGGGCCCTTGGCCTTCTTGGGCTTGGGCTCCTCCGCGGCGGCGGCGGCCGTCCCGTTCGGTTTGGCGTCCTTCTCGACCGCGGCCGCGGGCGCGGCCGCGGGCGCGGCCGCGGCGGCGGCGGCGGCGGCCTCGTCCTTGGCCGCCTTCTCGGCGGCGGCCTTGGCCTCGGCGAGGGCCTTGGACGCGTCCTTGAGCTCCTTGGCCGTGAGCTTGTAGTCCGCGTCCGCGTCGGCGAACGCGAACGACGCGTCCAACTTCTCGACGCCCCTGGACGCCGCGAGGCCGTCGAGCGTGCGCCGCAGCGCGCCGCGGCCCGCGTCGAGCTTGAGGCGCTTCACGGCCTCCTTGCGCGCGACGAGGTTGCAGAGCTCGCGGGCCGCCTCGAAGTCGCGGCGCAGCTGCTGCAGCTTGCGGAACGCGTCGACGTCGTTCTTCCGGTGCTTCCGCAGCTTGTAGCGCTCCTTCTCGCGGGGCCGGAAGACGCAGTGCGGGTTCGTGTCCGTCGGCGCCGTCTTGGGCCAGAAGCGGCGCAGGAGCGGCTTGCCCAATTTCGACCGCTTCGCGAGCCAGTACTGGTGCGCGACGGGCCCGAGCACGCCCGCGACGGCCGCGTCCTTGAGCGCCAGGGCGCCGATGCCGCCGTTGCACGTGAGGCTCTTGGACATGAGCGCGTCCGACGCCTGCTGCGCGCGCGCCGTCGGGTTCGGGAAGCCGCCCGAGATCATCTCGAGGCAGTCGATGAGCGCCTCGAGGACGTCGCCCGTGAGCTGCGACACGTGCTTCTCGACGTTCTCGTCGGTGGCCTCCACGGCGGGCGCGGGCGCCGGCGCCGGGGCGCCGTCGGGCGACGTGTCCATGGGCGTCGGCGACGGCGCCGCGGCGCCCGCGGCCGCGGACCGGCCGCGCGTCGCCGCGCGCGTGCCGCCGCCGTTCGCCTCGCGCTCCTTCTCGAGCTTCTTCGCCTCCTCGGCGAGCTTCTTCGCCTCCTCGGCCTCCTTGAGCTTCTCCGCGGCGGCGATGGCGTCCATCTCCGCCTTGGACCGCTTCCGCTGGCCCGTGCCCGTGCCGCGGCCCGCGCCCTTCTTG